TAATCGCGTTGGTTGGATCGCACTCGGATTTACTCGGATCCGCCAGTGTACCTTCGCTTTTTTGCTGTATATAAAATGTTCACTTTGAGTCAATTGCCAATTTATTGTCGCTGTTTTCCAATGATATTAGTGTGCTCAGGAAATTGAAATGTGAATTGTGAATCGTAAAATTGTTCTTTTAGTCCTTCTGAAAGTGTATTATAATTAAATACTATTAAATTACTTGAAAAACATATTTGCAAATTCAAGATATAATTTTTATTCAATTTTATTTCTATTGTTCGGCATTTTTATATTTTACAGAATTTTAACTCATTTGATTTTGTTTGTGTTGCTTATCTAAAAAACTTTTTTTTTTTTACATATGTATAAAAATGATGTACTCAGTAAATGTCCGTAAGCATGTATTATATTAATACACACATTTTATATGACTTAATCAATGACTACTGTATACGTTAGTTTAAAAGCAATCACGAAATTTTAACTTCAAGTATAAATAATATTTATTTTTCTGAATATATGTATAATCAAAAAAAAATATATCAATCGTTCTGGCATTGTATCTACATACATACATTTGTACATATGTATATGTACATATATGGCAAAGTGTTCCGGCTCGGATCACTGAGCCTGAAGATAAATAAAACTTATGTTTATGCATTTTGGAATTATTATCTTTTCAAAAATTATAAAAATAAAATATAATTTAGCATGTTTTTCATGCTCAAAATATTTTAATTTTCTCGTGATTTGATTTGGCAAAATTTTGAAACATATCAAATTTCAATTTTAAATTGGTTGGACTATTTTTAGATATATTAAAAATTTCGGGTGCCGATATATATATCAAGGAATTAGATACTTTATAGGATCGCAGACGTTTCCTTTTTGACGTGAAAAATAATAATGACAAGTGTAACAATAAGCAGAACCCTGCAGTCGCCTTCCACACCATTAAGATTATTTCTTGACTACGAAATACATAGAATTACTACAATTCAACAGGTTATCGCTATTCTAACCACTTTCTGACAAGAACAGGACATGAGGTATCAAAACTTTGAATTCACATAATTTTCGTTTTCAATGCTTTGCATTTTGCACGGGATCTTAGTTTCTTCATTTTTTAACAATTATACGATTACTAATATTGGTAGAGTGAATCATTATGTTACTGTGACCAGTTAAAGTTTCCTATCTTTGAAATTGATGACGAAGGGTTTTCTCTGTTTGGCTTTTTGGCTGTTTTAGACCTTTTGGTCTGCGAGAAGTCGACTCTAAACGGGAAAACATGGATAGCTTGAGTCTTTGATATTTATATAAGAATATCTCATTTCATCAGGTCAACAAAATGATTACATTCATGTTATATACAAATAATAAAGTCCGGTTTTGTAAGAGTATAAAAAAAAAATACAAGTGGGCAAATGAAAACTATTGGACTTTGCACATGACAAAAATTAATGTGAAAGCCTGAATGCGCAGCTGTAAAATTTTAAAATTATGCAAATGGAAAAATTAAAAAAAAAAAAGAATGTTACCAAGAAAATCCTATAATATATTACACATATATAAGTAAATGGACTACAATAAAATGTGGTTTACTTGCTAAACTATTCGATATTGAATATGCTAATAATGAATGCCACTTACAAACAAAAGTCTAAAAACTGTAGAAGAAATGGTAAATAATTTCGACTTCGGCTTAATTCATCCCATCGCTACAAAAAAAAACGAGAAGGGACGTGTGAGACGCTTCTTACGCGTCACAACTTTTACACCCGGTATTCAGTCAGTAAATATGTATGTGCATTTGTATGCATGTTACCTTAGTATAATACATATGTAACCTCATGATTTTTTCGATTTCTTTACATTTAACAGTTTTTATACATCTGTAATTTACATCTACATCACCACTCACACCAACACGCCTTTTAGCAGCCACTCTTTCGCAGAGCAGAACCCTGCACAAGGCAGAGTGTGCGAGCGAGCAAGAATTAGCAAGAATAAGCAAAACCACTGGATGGGGTGGGGGGGTAGCTGATGCAAATGAATTTCTTCATTCTGACCATAAACATTTTTTAAAGAACTGCGTTTTTATTTTTCTCTTATCTTTAAAGTTGTGCCTTTTCCTTTGTGGCTGCGGAAGGGGGAAGGGCGAAATTTTAAAATAAACTTTTAACAGAGTGAATTTCCAGCAACCTGGATGTTTCTGTGCGTTACATACATCCACTTTCGACCACAAATACAATATACCCTATTTACTCTTCGAGTACCGGGTATAAACAACATGCTAAAGGTAGGCTCTTCGAATTCAGAGTGAAAACGAGAAGGGACGTGTGAGACGCTTCTTACGCGTCACAACTTTTATAAATGGTACTCAGTACTACATCTGCATCTTAGCGGTGTTTTGTCAAATTTTACATTTTTTCTTCATCTTTCATCTACATCTACAACACTTCTCACGCCAACACGCTCCTTTAGCTCGCTCCCCTTCCCTAGACCCACACACTGCAGACTCGCGGCAGACGCAGTGGCCGCACACAGCAGAAGCAGAGTGTAAATGAGAGAATGTGAAAAAAAACAAATATAAACTGCGGGACGGGGTGGGTTTAGCCACTGCAAATTAATTTCTTCATTGTGGCTATAATAATGATCCAATTGGATCCCAATTTGGTGATCTGATAGATATGGTCATTCCCTACGGAACGGCATTTTTAGTTTGTTTATCTTCAAAATTGATTTTGAAGGTTTTCGCCCTTTTGCCGGGGCGGTGCTCATTTTTGAAATACACTTGTAACAGTGTGAGCATACAGAATTCTGGATGCAAAATTTGGTGACTCCAGCATTTATGGTCTCTGAGATCCAGGCGCTCAACAAGACGGACGGACAGACAGACATGGCTCAATCGACTCGGCTATTGATGCTGATCAAGAATATATATACTTTATGGGGTCGGAAACGTTTCCTTCTGTGTTTTACATACTTTGTGCACAAATACAATATACCCTATTTACTCTTCGAGTACCGGGTATAAAAATGATATGCACAGTAACCAAATCAGTGTTTTTTTACAATTGTTAATAAAGAACCAATTTTGAACGAATATATGTGGATATTTTCATTAATTAAAATTTATTGCGATAATTGAGAAAGAACTTGTAATCCTTTTCAGCTAAGGCCCGCTACGCCATAGCTTCGCGAGGAAATACATATATTGTTTCAGAAACGCCATCTGTTAGATAAGGTATTTCTCTCTGTGTATGTATGAAATTGTGTATGCCAGAGATTTTCACTCTTTATTGGGTCAAAAGAAAGCTGGGCAAAGCTTTGAAATAAACTTTTAAGAGTGTGATGTCACAGGGAAAGCTGGATACAAAGTTTGGTAACTCGAGATCTAGGTCCTCAACAAGACGGACGGACAGGCGGAAGACAGACATGGCTATATCGACTCGGCTATTGCTTCTGATCAAGAATATGGGGAGGAATCTTTTCTTTTTGTGCGTTATGCAAAACTAATATATCCATAAACAGTACGAGTACCAGGTATGTATAATAAATACCAACTGTGCATTCAACTAAAATGGGGAATTTATTTATTAACATTTTTGTTTACCCAAAACTAAGCCTAAGCTGAATAGTTTGCAACTAGTTTGAGTTTTTTACAAGTAATACTTAACTTATTTACATAATTACAGTTTTAAAAAATTTGTATGTATTAATTTTCTGATGCGTTTGTAACTGACAAAAAAACTTTTGTAAATACCATTAAAAAAAAATGCCGGAATTTAAGCGAGTTTTAATGGAATAATTAATGTAATTAATCGGTGTCTTTTTTCATGAAAACTTACATTGATATCCAATACATGCAATATTGCACAAAACTGTTAATATCAGCATTGAACTTATTAACTTGTTAATCAAATCAGTAGAAGTATGAGTCAAAAGGAACCTCAACATAACTTACTATCTACATATAAGGTGTGCGAAAGAAGTCACCTTACAAACATAAAAATCCTTACACAATTTTAAAATTTTATTAATTTCATACTAAAGTCAACAATATAACAATTCAAAAAAGGCCAAAGAAAGTTTTGTATACATTTGAAATATTTTTAATTAATTAAATTAATATTTTCCGTAACGAAATTAGTGAACCTTTAATTTCATTAGAATGGTATTTTCTTAAATTTTCTTATATTTAAAATTATAAAAGGGTATTCAATTGCCTAAATGTGGCCTCCTTTGCTATTTAAAACCTTTGTAATGCGTCCTGGCATTGAAAGGATCAATGTTTGGAGTAAGGATACATCCGATTCCGCCCACTCCTTTACTATTGCCTCTTTCAACTCTTGTACTGTTGTAAATTGCCTTCCGTGCATGTAAACTTTGGCAGAAAGTATGCCCCAAAGGTTTTCAATAGGGTTGAGATCAGGGCTTTTTGCTGCCCATTTTAAAAGCGGAATTTGTCGGTATGCAAAATATGTTTTTGAGTACTTTGACACGTGGATCGCGGCATTATCCTGTTGAAAAATCCAGGAATCTCCATAATTCGCTTCCACTATTGGACGAAGTTCTTGTCGATTTTGGGGAATACTTTCTGCCAAAGTCAACATGCACGGAAGGCAATTTACAACAGTACGAGAGTTGAAAGAGGCAATAGTAAAGGAGTGGGCGGAATTGGATGTATCCTTACTCCAAACATTGATCCTTTCAATGCCAGGATGCATTACAAAGGTTTTAAATAGCAAAGGAGGACACATTTAGGCAATTGAATACCCTTTAATAATTTTAAATATAAGTAAATTTTAGAAAATACCATTCTAATGAAATTATAAGTTCACTTATTTCGTCCCGAAAATATTCATTTAATTAATTAAAAATATTTCAAATGTATACAAAACTTTCTTTGGCCTTTTGTTGAATTGTTATATTGTTGATTTTAGTATGAAATTAATACAATTTTAAAATTTGGAAATTTGAAAATTGTATAAGGGTTTTTATGTTTGTTAGGTGACTACTTTCGCACACCTTAGCCGAGTGATGAAAGTAAAATATTCGAATAAGAATAGACAGTTAATAATCTACTAAAAACTTATAGAACGATGATTGCATATGACTACAACATCTAGAAAGTCGCCTCGTTGTAAATGCACTAATTAAATAAGAAGTCTTTTTTTTATTTAATTATAATATGCAAAATGAGATTTGCAAAATACTAACCTAATCCCCACTGACTGCTAATACTATAAAGGAAAAACTGGAAAGTCTTAATAGCAAATTTATAATGAGAATAGCGTTCTATTAATATTAATTAATATCTTCCTGGATCAAGTAAAATTTTTATAAAAAATAACCACGATCTGAAATGGAATCTTCCTGTCTTGAAAATGGCGGGTTTTTTTATGAAGAGTATAAGAAGCATAGAAAACTAGTCGCCATACGATTGCTCTACCAGACGTCATACAAATCTTAGGTTTACTATCCATCCATACAACCATCTACCATATTACACAAAATAAAGCGTTTGCAAACTCTCGATTCTCAAACTATATCTGCATTAATGTCAGGCTAAAGAAAGGCAAGCAGCGTGGTTAGATCATATTTAATTGGTGCTGCTCGCTCAGTTTGAAAGTCGACGCATCGCTAAGGTGATGGAAAGGCATTCCAGCCGCTGTTGTGCCTATATCTGGGGACGGTAAATTTAAAGTGGCCGTTACCGCCTCTGGACTATTGCTTCCGCTCGCGTTTGAAATGCCGCTCTTAAGTACAGTATCTAAAGGCATATTTTGAGACAGGTGATGTGCTGTGCCAGAATTTTGAGTCGAGAGCGTACCTGCGTTCGCTGTTGTAAATGAATTTCCCGCATGAGAAGCACCACGCCCGCGTTTTCGCTTCGGAAGAATGCCTTTTCGCGCCATATAAAAACGAATAGTAGATACGGGAATATTGAACATATTGCTGACTGTTTGGAATGTTTCGCCCTTTGAAACACATTTGGCCGCTTGTGCTAACGAGGCCTCCGAACGTCGAACACGCTTATATGAGGTGTAGCTATCGATTGAACTATGCATGATTCCTGCCGATATATTGGCAGGCGTGTCTGAATCAAAGCTAAGGGAAAGGCCGCTCCCGCTGCTTGCAATTCGGGCTACACTGCTTTCATTGTCTGCCTCATGAGCAGCCACATAATTGTGATCGTCTTCGATGGTGGTGTCCAAATTTTGTGACTGCAGCTGTATCGGCGGCTGGGACCTATAAAATAAATATAAAATCAGTTTTTTATCAAAAAATTGTATTGAGCAGTGATGTCTATTCTTATCGTTTAATTTCTTATTTCATATTTTGCACTAGGATTTAGAGACTTGGCCAATATAACACAATAATTTAATTTATATAAAAAACCAGTCCGTACATTAAAATCATACTTTGGCAAGAAGATACATAGCGCGATGTCTGCTGTGACATTCTCGTTTTATGATTAATTTCAGACTAAAGTTCAGTTGCATACGCATTTGAGTATGAGTGTATGCAATACTTTTGGTTTTTCTGTGTTTTCTGTGTTGAAATAAAGTCTAACTGGCTTACCGACAGGGAAACAAGCAAAATAAAGTTGACTGTGTCAAAAGCAACCCTCGTTTACTTCAAAACAACAACATTACAAAGGCGTCTATTGTAATTGGGAATTTGGAACAGTTGTAAAATCTTCATCTTTAAACGGTCCAGTCAAAATCGTTGAGTCTACTTCATTGTACATAAATTTCTTATCAGAAGATCGCGTCCAGCTTCTAAGTTTTCGCTGATTGCATTTGTGTAACATTATAATTGGATGCATTGACTTAATCTTTATCTTCACCAAAGAAGTTAATTTTAATGAATTGCTGTTAATCATCTGGGAATGGGAGCAAGTACCCGACTTTATGAAAGGTGTGTCCTTACATTTTAAAAGATGGCAGAAATTCAGCTTTCCAAATAATTGTATAGGATTTATGAACGCTATGAAATATTTTTATTCATGGGTATAGCTAACAAGAAGAGTTTCTAACGGATCCGTTGATGCTTCAAGTTGGAACAAATTTTTCACTTGAGCGAGAGAAAATCTTGTCTTGTTGGGATGTTGATTTTGCGGTCCGAGTACGACAATCCAAATAAAACTTGCACTCGAGAACGATAAGCCGAAATTACTCGTCTTGTTCAACTATTATATTTTTAATATTTATGAAATATATGATCGCCAAATAGTTTCTGCACATAAATTCATGATATCGTCTTGTCCATCGAGAGTATTTGTTGCTTGATCAGCATCATCGATATAGCCATGGCCTTGTCCGTCTTGTTTGACACCTCGTCCTCATAGAGTTTGACTTACACACTTTCAATTATATTTCACATCAATAAATATATAATATAACTCATTTATGAATTTATGCATGTACTATTTTTGTGGAGATACCGACATTCCGCGCGGATATTACAATTTCTCATGCTTGCTCTCCACAACCCAGATGATTTTTTGATTTTAAAATACCCATTCTAACCGTGTGATATCACAGCAGTCTGAATGCAAAAATTGGTTGCTCTAGCTCTTATTGACTCCGTGTACTAGGCGCTCATCAGGACGGACAGAGACAGGCTCGGATACAGAGATATATATATATATATATACCCGTTAACTCTTCGAATGCCGGGTATACAAAACACAATTAACCCATTTTGAACGATATTCCATTGATCTTTCACTATTAGTCAAAACATATAAATGGCCTAGAATTATAATAATTATAACATTTTAAGTATAGCAGAATTAATCACAAACCTTGTCTGAAGGAGGAACGTCTGTGTTTTGTTTTTTTCAGCTGTTGCGGATAAGCTATAGTCATCGCAATGATCATTATATGTGTTCCAGATATTAGAGGCATCATCCGCAGACTCGTCTTCGGTCGGTACATTTGAGTTGTTGGAAGCTGTTGCTGAGGAGGCGGTATTTAAAGACTGTTGTGGATGATGCTTATGAGGTTTCTGTAGCTGCAGGGTATTACCACCATTTGCTTGCTGACGTTGGCGCAGTTCCTTGTGCTGCTGCTGCAGAGCTAGTTGTTCTTGTTGGTGCTGGTGCTGTTTGGCTGTCTGTGCTTGCGTGGTCGAAGCAGTAATTGAGGCGGTTGAATTTGTAGCTGCATCTTCAGTTTCAGTCACGTTCACGTCAATATTATTAAGTCTCGTGATGACTGGGGCTACGTCCATGACAGTTTCCTTCCGCATCTGTTGAAGCTGATTGTAATTTATTGCCGCCTCTGACCCGTACAGACCGCGTATCCGGAGCTGTTCGGCACATCGAAGCAACTGGCCCAGGCCGGCCTGTGTGACATTTACCTCTCCCTTGTACATAAAATCTACTAGCGCCTGAATCTCCCATAGCTTGATCTCTCCTGGTAAAATTATAACGGGATGCTTACAGGGATTTTCCGCCAGAATGGCTTCAAAGTATGTGGAACATGCGGCTAGCACTAGACGGTGACAATGTAACTGGTGACCTTCACAGGCCAGTGTAACATCAACAAATCTTTGACCGGCTAATAGCTGCGGAAAAGCGGCTCCAATACTACCAAGATGGCTGTTCCAGCGCACGCAAAATTCCTGAGTAACAGCGTTCATTTTGCTTAACCTCAACTCAACAACCTTTGTAGTTTGTTGTTTGTACCAGATTTATATCCTTTTTAACCTGTAACAAAATGAATATTGCATGAATATTAATCCAAAATTGAGCATAAACCGCGATTGAGTGGGTGTGATCCCCGATTTGTGGATACCACTTATAAAATGGACCTGGTTAATCTAATGAATTTGGGGTTTATATGTTTATGTTTAAATACATTACGGATTTGTTTTCTAGGGAAAGAATCTTGCCTTGTTATTGTAAACGAAGAGGAACGGTGTGAGTCGCCCTCAAAAGCGAATCTACTTTTATACCCGGTACGCTCTAATAACAGCAAACGAGACCCTCCTACCGATCAAGCGTCGTGATCATATTTGCGAGTTCGTGATGCTTGCACAGGCTTTCAATGGCGAAACATAGAATAAGTGAGGAAGAAGAAGCAAATACAGGTTGGATCTTACCCATACCGAGTACCATTCGAATGGAATTGTTCCTTGAACAAAACAATCATAGCTTTTAATTGAGCTCGACTAAAATATTGCCTGCACTTATTACTATCTAACAAGTGTATATTTTAATGCTTTGCATAAAATAATTTTACATATCAAACACATTTTAATGTATATCGACTCGGCTATTGATTATTATTATATATTTTATAGGCTCGGAAAAGTTTCCTTCTTTGCGTTACGCACATTGCTTCGAGCAAAAATGTATACTCCTTTAACTCTTCGAGTCCATGGTATAAAATTATTGCCTTATTATCAAATAGATCGCAGGCTACGCTGCTAAAAAAGCTCAGGAGCTGGGCTAAACCTTAGCCGTTTATTCATCAAATTTTACAACTAACTGTACCTATCAAAACCCCATTTAATCCCAAGAAATACATACATATGTATATACTTTTTTTCGACTTTTTCTGAGCTGAAAGCTTAATATATTCAAAACGGTAAACTATAACTTAATATTTGATGGGCCCGAATTACATATAGCTTTATTTATAAGCTTGTGCAGAAAAATAACTACATCAGAAAAATAACATAATTCAAAGATTCCTAAATACAACGACGGAGAACGTTGTGAGACGCGTTCGTAGCCGAAGAAACATACAAACAATAAACTCAGCGACGCTATACGAAGGAATGTCTTGCTTGATTTAAAATCAACAGTGAACATATGTGGTCATGCAAGTGTGTATCCATCAACGCTGAGCGATTTTGTTTGAGCCTTTTTGAAATCACACGTTGCCGTTCTCTAGTACATATATATGTACATACATAAATATGTACATAAGTAATTAACATTACAAATTGACAAGTTTTGCATAGAAATAGACTTTTTTATATTTCTTTTTTTACATACAGAGTAAGTATGCATGTGTTTCTGAGCGTATGGTGATTTTGGTAAAAACATCCAAAACTCTACGATGTACGATATATGAATGCATCCATACACAAAAAATCTGTTTGTTCGCAATTTTGAAACAGAGAAAAACACATACATATGTATGTACATACATACACATGAAGTTGGCGTGATAGCAAGTATTCTGGTTTTTATACCCGGTACTCGATTTAGCATTCAATTTGTTTTGAAGGAGCAAAAATCCGCCACCAACAGCAACTACATATGTACATACATATGTATGTAGATATGTACATATTTGCACATGTGTGAGCATAGATGTTGCACACTACATATATGTAATTAATATACAAATATTACATGCATATGTATTTTCATAAATACATACGTATGTACATATGTCACAAGTATTTTCAAAAATAATAAAAGTAAAATAAGACACCGCAATTTGAGGCTATGTTCAATGTTTACAGTCGGAGTCGGGTAACTTCGTACAAGGAAATGAAATATTTATGCAGTTATCACAAACATACGTATATATTGTTAACATTTATAAATATTTATGTATTTATAACTACAAATGTATTGATTTATTTGTGGTTTCTAGCGCTTTACTTAATACAAAGGATGTGGTACAGAAACATATTTACATTACATGCATAGATCATCTACATATGTACATATGCATACTGAATGTAAATATGTATGTATTAAAAATAAACAAATCCATACCCGTGTGCAGAGTATTAAGTTTTGCCTTGAGTTAATAATGCAAAATTGCTGGCGTTTACTTTTTGTAGAAAGCAAAAGTTAAAAGTGGCGCTTTGTGTTGCAGACCTCCCCCGCGGACTGTGGTATCCTGTGCGCGTGAGCTAGCGTCTACGAAGTGCTTTTGTTTAACAAACTTGCTGCAAACTCTTAAGCACTCAAGTACACAAAAAACATTCATGTATTGATTTTTCACAAAAACTAACCAGCACGTCACAAAAATAAAATGTTTTAATATGTTCAAGTTATGGAAATCGAATGTATCCAACCCGCGATTTTATTTCATCCGATTAAACAATTTTCTTTCAATTTAGTGCCAATCTGGCCTGGCAATTATTTTCCAAAGAGAACCACATATTTTTAAATCGTTCATATGGCCTGTGGCATTATTATCTAAATGGCCAAATACCCCTTCAATTTTATTTTTGAATTTAAACTAATAAATTTATATTAGACTGCAAGCGTGCTGCCAACTTTATTTTTAACCAGCGTTATTTGAAAAAGGCGTTAGGACATTTAGTCGATGCAATATTTCTCACAATTTCGTTCAAAAACTGAACGATCGCACTATTCGATAACTTGATAAGAACTATATCGCTGCCGGTATATTTTATCAACCAAATCAAATTGGAACTCTTTCATATAAACTATGTAAGTGTTGAGCGTAATTCATGATTTTTAAAATAATTTTTCTTTGTATACGTTATAGTTCTTCTGCGTGCTCTTGTCGACATATCAGCCATCGACTATCTGCCATGGAGCAAAATGAGGAGAATGTTTTAAAATTCATGGAATCGGCTGGCTTGTCTACAGACAAGCTAAAATTTATTCTATAACTGCCACTTGCTCGAAGCGTTTGGACCCTTGTAAATAGAAGTAGTATTAGCTTAGCTGGGAAACTCGAACACCTAGGCTGTAGCTATCAGGCTACAGCTAACTGAAACTGACACAAAATTATTTTGAGCGAACCCTATTTGCCAGCTGGCCAATGAATACTAAAAAACAGAAGGTATTTGATGGTACTCCGCCTGGGTACCTAGAAAATATAACTTAAACCATAAAAAAGACTCCTAAGCTAACCCAATGTGACCTCCATCCTTGTTAACGAGCTTGAGGCCATCAAAATGGCGAATGGGATTTATATACACTTGACTTTTTTACCATGTTAAATACATCAATGGAAAAATTAATGAAAAATTCGCATCAATATATCACATAAACTTTCTCTGAAATCTACCTTTGAATTGAGTACCACTTACATATTTGTCCAGTGTGACTTTTTTTGGTAGTTTCTTCTCCTTGGTCTCGAAAATTATTACTAATAAGCCTAGTATTTATTTTTCTTAGTCGCTGGATATAATTCCCTGGGTCTGCTTACCATTTAAAAACAATGTAAATGTAATGAAAGAAAAAAAAATCCCACGCGAAGTCACTTAGTATTAATTCCATACACTGGCGCTGCGACGCCATCCTGACAGGTACACCAACTATCGATATATTTATGGTCCATCTCTATTAAAAACATAACATACAAGTAATAGCACGTGGGTTCTTGGTTTTGTACTATACAGGAACCAACAAATAAAATAAAGCAATATGGGCAAGAAAACGAAAGTAGGAAAGACAAGGAAGGATAAATTTTACCAACTTGCCAAAGAAACGGGGTTTAGATCCCGTGCCGCTTTTAAATTGATACAGCTAAATCGCAAGTTCGGATTCCTCCAGCAGTCGCAAGTTTGCTTAGATCTTTGTGCAGCTCCTGGAGGATGGATGCAAGTGGCCAAACAAAATATGCCAGTATCCAGCATTGTAATTGGTGTTGACCTCTTCCCGATTCGGCCCATTGCAGGCTGTATTGGCTTAGTAGAGGACATCACAACGGAAAAGTGTCGTCAATCATTAACTAAGGAGTTGCAATCTTGGAAGGCCGATGTTGTCCTTCATGACGGTGCCCCCAACGTGGGTCGTAATTGGCTTTTTGATTCTTATCAGCAGATCTGCCTAACCCTTAATGCCCTCAAGCTGACCACCCAGTTTCTTCGCGGCGGAGGTTGGTTTGTGACCAAAGTTTTCCGCTCCAAGGACTACAACGCACTGCTTTGGGTGCTCAAGCAGCTCTTCAAAAAGGTGCATGCCACCAAACCAAGTGCATCCCGTAAGGAGTCAGCCGAGATATTCGTGGTCTGCCAGGAATATCTAGCCCCCGACATTATCGACCAGCGGCTGCTCGACAGCAAGTACGTGTTCGAGGAGCTCGACCTCGAGAACAAGAAGAAAAATAGCCTTCTGCACCCCGAGAGACAAAAACGCATCAAGGCCGAGGGCTACAGTGAGCAGGACTTATCATTGAGATCCATTTTATCGGCCACAGAGTTTATGAAAGCAGAAAATGCCCTTTCTGCCCTCCAAGGTGTAGGATCCATTCGCATTGATGACGATCGTATTGCCAATCACAAGAAAACTACACCTGAAATTTTAGAATGCTGCAAGGACCTTAAGGTTTTGGGTCGCAAGGATATTAAAGGTCTTGTATTGTGGTGGAAAGCTGTTAAAGATAGTTTTTTTAAGGATGAAACTGCGGCAGTTATCGAGGAACAAGAAGCAGAGGAAACAACACCAAAACAACTAACGCAAACAGAATTAGAGGAACTTGAAGATCTTGAGCTTCAAGAACAGATCAGAACGTTGACAGCCGAGGAGCAAAAAGAGCTTAAGCGGAAACGAAAGAAGACGCTTAAGGCCAAGGCAAAACTTCACGAAAAGATGAACCTCAATATGGTTATAAAGGGAGATGACGGGCCTGTGGAGGAAACTGGTCACGAAATTTTTGATCTGAAAGTTATTGACTCTGCTGTTGAGTTGGATAGGTTCCTCGATGTTAGCCCTGACTTCGATGTAGAAGAAGAGGGTAAAGAGGCTGAAAAGTTGCCCAAGTACAAAAAATATGATAAGGATGACAAGAAAATGGATGACGATGGTAACTATGAAAGCGACGAAGAGAACGCATCAAGTGATGATGAAGACAGCGATGAGATGGTGAATGATGAGCAAGGTTTGGGCCTAAGCGACGATGGCGAAGACACTGTTAAAGTTGGCAAAGGAAAGAAAGCACACGAGGAGCATCCGCTCATAAAGTCAAGTGATTTCCGTGACAAGGACACCAAGCGGCAACAGCGAGTACAGCTTTGGTACGAGAAGGATAATCTCCAAAACATTGCATCGGACGACGATGAGGAAAACTATGATCTGAAAAATATGGCCAAGGAGTATAATCTAAAGGGAGTCTCTCTTCTCGGTGAGAGCACCCTCAGCGGTGACACAAATGGACAGGCTCTTCTGGGCAAGAAGGCTAAGCGACGTGCCCGACACGAAATCGAGACAAAGGACAGTAGCTCAGATGACTCTGACTCTGACTCTGATTCTGAAGAGCTTCTCAAAGATGATACTGCTTCTGCAGATATGTCCAAAGGTTGGTGTTGATTATACATACATAATTTATTAATAATATTCATTAAAATTATATTTGCCAATATTATAATTTCAGAGCCTAAATCGAAGAAGGTACGTTTGACGGAAAATGAGCTGGCTCTTGGTGCGCTTATGATTCGCGGAAAGAAAACACAGCGCGACCTTATTGATGCAGCCTGGAACCGTTATGCTTTTAACGATGAAAACCTTCCAATTTGGTTCACGCAGGATGAACAAGAACACATGACTATGGCCCAACCAGTGCCTCAAGAGCTTACGGAAGAATACCAACGCAAGGTCCAGGAGTTAAATGTTCGCCCCATTAAAAAGGTAATGGAGGCAAAGGCTAGAAAGAAGCGCCGTTCCTCAAAGCGTATGGCCAAGGCAAAGAAAATGGCCGAAAAGATTATGGAAAACGCCGACGCCTCAACCCATGAGAAGGCAAAACAACTGAAAAAGGTTTATAAGAAAGCAGAAGAGAAGAAAAAGGAGATTACCTACGTTGTGGCTAAAAAGCACACAGCGTCTCGTCGAGCCAGTCGCCCAGCTGGCGTGAAAGGTCGTTATCGTGTCGTAGATCCGAGAGAGAAGAAGGATAAACGCTCTGCAGTCGCTATAAAGAGACGCCAAAAAAAAGGGGGTAAAACTGGGAAAGGAAAACGGTGAAAGATTCAAATTGAACACTTAAATGTAACCAGAAATAAAACGCCACTTAGTACATACTAAAACTGAAAGCACAGCTTTGATTTAATTGGTTGATTGATTGAGCAACCAATATTACCTCACAGATATACTGATTGCAGTACTTATTTATCTTCTTGTTAAAAAAAAAGAAGAAAAACGAATGGAAACACATTTAAGAAAAGTTAAAGATGTAAATTAAAAAATGTTGACCAAACATTTTATATATTTTTTGTATGTTTCTCAGCTATGTACATATGGTGTCTGTACAAGAGTGTATGGGACTATTTAATAAAAAATGTAAACAGATATCCATCAAAATCATATACATATGTGATCATATATCTCCTGACTGAGTACTGGTATCAAAGTGAGTCTTAAAACGCGCCTCACAACATTTCTCTTCGTTTAAATTTCAAAATATGTATTTTTTCATGTAACTCAAATATCTTACATCTGAGTTTAATGAACTCTGCCATTAAAATAAAGAAAGCTGTATTTGGTAGATCTAGAGCAAGCTTTTTGGATTATAAACATAAAATTGTTCCTCATCCAACTCCTTGAGCACCAATTTGCTCTCTTTTTGCAACTTTTGAAGATGGTGGCTTACGTTATAGGCCGCAGCGGGCCACAGCTCCTCAGGGGTTTCTTTGTAAACCTCCCGCACTACATCCATTGATTGCCAACGCTCATTGGGGCGTTGTGTAAAAAACTGGAATATCTGCTGTTCACGATTGTTGCGATGATTTATGTAGTACTCAATTTTGGGAACGGGCTCATCGATGACATTGCCATGACCCGGAAAGATACGCAGTGGTTGGATTTTTAAAATTGTATCCAAGCTTTTCATGTACTCGTACAGATCCTCAAAGACGGCAGTACCCTCGCCTACGGAAAGATTGCATTAACAAAATGGAAGAGAATCCAAGCCGAAAACAAACCTAAAATGCAGTCCCCACTAAAGAGCGTTCCTTCGTCCATCGCTATTGTAATATGATCCGTGGTGTGTCCTGGAGTGTGTACAACACGCATATTGGCTCCTTCTACTGAAAACTCTTGGTTGTTAGAAAGGGGTTGCAATTGTATGTGAGTTGGGATCTCTGGGCAGGCATCACTTGCATCGGTGCGACGAAACTTAAACACTTGACAGTCTGAATGAAAGAGCACTTATAAGAACCTGCCCGATATTATTATAGACAGTTATACCATTGTCTGCCAGACTGCTGCCCACAATATCCTTAACACCACCGACGTGGTCATGGTGCCAGTGAGTGAGGATGATAGTGGCAATAGAGGCCTGCTCCTTGCGAAGGACATCGTTCAAGTGTTCTATGTACTGAGGAACATCTTCATCTCCGGTATCAATCAGTATCCGTCTAATAGATAATGATTTGTGGGCAGGTTATATTATTAGTTGAACTTTGGATTGAACATTGAACATACTCACTTTTTTCCATTTCCAAGCAGATAGGTGTTGGTGCCTTGCAACGTCATAACACTCGGATTACATCCTAGTATACGTATTATGGAGGATGTAAGGCGAGTGACAGGCGGAATTAATGCCATTTAACTTCACTGTGTTGAATCGGAATTAATTAGGCGGCTACTTGTTGTTACGTATGAGTGTTTATCTCCGCGGCCAATAAAAGATTCGAAATATCGATAGAATACTTCTTGACTCACAGACACACCAAAATATACGTTTTCATTTTTTAAAATTTAAGCTCAGTACTCAGATGAGCTAAAATCGAATCCATCCATCGAAGCAGGGATGATATTCCTCCTCATCTCGAACGGAGATTCTGTCGAAAAAAGCATAAAACGGCCAGAATTGAGCAATAATTTAATGATTAGATGAATATTATAATATAATTATCTCTAACTCGGTACTCAATTTATATGGAGATAAGCAAAATATTTATTGAATTTCTGTTCTACCCGGTGCGGTACTTTCTCCAAGCTTTAATAAAATGTAGAAAAGTGAATGACTTATAATCATTAAAGTTACAAATATTGCACCAAAGACGAGAGCCAGGATGAAATGGTGATCTGAGATGGCAGTATTGAATGGATGAGAGTATTGAAGGTTTACGTAGATCTCGAAAAAATCGGAAGTGAGCAAGGAAAGAGATCGCCTAGAGGAAGAAAGCATCAAACGCAGCACCATCAGATGCACAAGTTGATTAATAGAAAACAAAGTTTCAATTTATTTGTCTTATTTTATTGGTTAGTCTCGCTGCTCACTTCAAAAAAGTAACCAATTTTCATTACCTGAGCTGTTTTGCATATTTAACATATTGTGCAAAATAAAACAGAACAATAGAGAGCTAGTTTGTTAATGATTGTTATCTATTCCTTTTAAAATTATATGTAATCTGGCATTTTAAAGACTTTTGTTGGAGTTGCTCTGTTTCAAAGACATTTTCAACACAGATATCCACGCCAAAATCTCCTCCCTCCTACTGAATGATGGCTACGTCATCGTCATCCATGTCCCACAACATGATTATCGGGTGCAAGAAAATTGCTGAATTATTGATAAATTTTTTATTTATGAAGAGGTAAACTTTTTCGGCCCTCCTAATTGTAAGCATAAGCTCTTTTTCATGAATTCAGCCGATGTTTCACATCTTTTACAAATTCCCACCGTTTCTCAGAACCCGTAGAGCCGGGGGTATATCGATACTTGTTTCCCACAAATCGATAGTGACATCGATTGTTTTTGAATAGCGATGCATTGCAACCCACCGTATGTGTATGGCCAAGATTTTGGTTATATAAAATTAACATGATTCAAGGCATTTGTTTTCAGCTTGGGAGGCTACGGTTAGAAAGTATTGAATTCATCGTTTTCTATTTATTAATTCATGAATATTTCCCTTTATTAGGCTTGGCAGCTGCGTCGTTTCTAGTGTACAAGTACGCGAAAAGGGCCATTTGAGCCGGCCCCGCTTAAGGAATCCTTACTGGAATCTACGGAAACAACGAACCGTAAGCAATGCCTTAATGCTTATACCTACCAATTTTAACATTGATTTTTGTGTGCAATAGAATACGGAAGACTTAGTGACTACAGAAAACAAACAGTTTATCAATGAGTTAGCATGCGAAAGATACGGTACTCCGGCGCTTAGCAAGAGCATTCAGTCACAAGAAAATAAGTTGATACAGACCAATGATCCGGAAGATGGAATTCGTTCGTGGACCGAGCAGACGAGGCGTTGCGGTGTGATAGCGAGGAAAATTGGACAGTATCCGCTATGGCTTAAAAATGGCAAAAAAGTGCGCACCACATTGTTACAGATTGCTGACAACCATGTTATTAAATACATGCCACCCGAGGAGTGTGGACCCAATAAGAATCCGAGCAGTGAACACAAGTTGAACAAGTATGGCTGCATCCTCGTGGGTGCTGAAAGTACGAACCCAACTATGCTGACTAAAGAATACTGCGAGATATTTCGGGGTGCAGGCGTCGCTCCAAAAAAGAATATCATGCGTTTTATGGTCTCACCACAAGGAGCAATAGCACCTGGAACACCTTTGAATGTTGGCCACTTTCGCGTTGGAGAATATGTTGATGTTCGCGGCAAAACGTGAGTATTTCACACTATATATTATTAAAGCTTAATTAATTGTTTGTACTTACTTTTCATTACAGCGTAGACCACGGCTTCCAAGGTGTAGTCAAGCGGCACGGATTCAAGGGAATGCCTGCTTCACATGGCGTTACCAAGACTCATCGCCGTGCCGGTAATATTGGCGGTGGTGGCGAAAAGGGACGCGTCTGGCCTGGTACAAAGATGCCTGGTCACATGGGCAACCGTTGGCGTGTTCTTAAAGGCCTTCGAATTTGGCGCACGAACGCAAAGTACAATGTCATGTGGGTGCAAGGTAGCGCAGTGCCTGGACCTACCGGTGGACTAGTATATATATACGATACGCTTTTACCCCTGCGGAAGCTGAAAGAAGCTCCTCCGTTCCCCACATTTTATGATGAGGTGGACACTACTTCTGAGGACAGTTGGTATGAGCAGATGCACAAATTTAAGGATGAAACCATTGTATACAAGAGCGATTAGTTGTATTTACTATCTCTTAGAACAAGCTTAATTTCATTAAAATTCAAGATTTAAAGAATAAAGCTGGAAGACTTTTTAATACAATACACGAGGAGAAACGTTATAGAACGCTGCTAAAGCACCGTCACTTATTCTAATAATATTCGTCTACGAGTGCATTATCCTTAACAACATTCTCTTCTCTCGGAGCGCACTTTCCTTAGCAGAATTCACGCCTTCACGTCCCTACCCGCTACCGACCACGTACAAGTCCTGAAGAGTGACACAAAAAGTACGAACCTTCTCGAAACTACATCCGGTAAACCTTAAAATAGTAAAGAAAAATACCTTCAATTGAGAACCTAATCTAAGTTTTGTTATTGAACTAGGTCTTTTCTTAAAAAGTTACAAAATCCAGAGATCAAACAAATGTATGTGAGCATACCCCAGTCAGAGGGCCGTCACAACTAATTTTATTCATCAATCTTTAACTCTACAGGTGGTAGTCAGAAAGTGCACCTGTGTTTTTGTCTTCTGAGGAGCAATCCCATCCCTAGCAGAAGTCGCCATCGAAAGAAAATCAAATTAAACCTATGGCACAAGTGTAGTGTAGTGCCGCTCTTCTTCCAGAGTGTGGCATCAGCTGCTCCATCTACATACATATGTCTACATCTACATCTATCTTTCCTCCCACACCAGCATGTTCTATCTCGCTCTTCTCCGTGGAAGCGTGGGTCAGAGAGAGAAAAGGTGAATGGGTAACCGCGTGCAATAAGCAACATGCATTGACATGGAACATTTATTTGTTCATTCTTAACATTTGAATGATCTGATCTGATCCAGAACCAGCAATCTGGTAGACCGACATATACTCATACACTTGTTATTGTGACATCACAGAGGTATACATAGGTGCAACATTTGGTTCCTTTCAGTCAGTCAGGATAGAAAAACATCGATCATCGATTTTTATTTTGAATAGTGCTTCGCAGATATTTATAATATAGTTTAATATCAAAATTATTATAATTTAATATTATTAATGTGTGTATGTTTAACAAGATTTCCCGTGCTGCCAAAGTTAAAGTTTAGAGACTGGTTTCAGTCCAAGAATATAGAAACACTGACGCAATACTGCTGCAGTTGCCTCGCACATTAAAATTCGACTATAATTTACTTCAACTATTTCACCATCTTTGTTTTTCTTAATGCAATAGCAGCTGTCGTAAAATTCTGTAAATACAGCGCATACCTCAAAGCAAAACTCGCAAAGAAAATGAAGGAAAAGGTCCTTCGAGCACTTTAACAATATGTCGTGTATCTTCAAAAGGGTTTTTGCCAGTTTCCATTCCTTTTCGTGATCCAAAACAATCTCGACTGTATCCAAAATCGTTTTCAAGTTACTGACGTCTTCGCTTAACTTTCTTGAAATAGAGCAAATACGCGTGTAGGTGTACAATAAGTAAACTGCAGTATTTCCGCGGTCATCCAGCATCTTGTCAAATGAAAATACATAGTCACTTATACGGTTATGGCTTAAATCTGAATACTTGATGCAGCCATAAGCCACTGCCTCTTGTGCTTCAATTAATTCATCAGGTGTGAGAATTTTGTCGCGTCCTCGACTGCTTAGTTGTTCCAATGAACGTTTCATTCCCTCATTAAGCAAATCTGATAGTTTAACAGTATCACCGGAACGGGTCTTAAATTTCTTTCCATCCTCACCAAGAACCACGCCAAACTGTACATGGTTCACACGGTGGATGGTCGGATTTAAAATGCCACAGCGCTCGGCCGCTTTGAAAATTGTGTTAAAATGTGTACTTTGTCCAGAGTCGACAACATAAATGATCCAAGTGCACTGCTCCTCGTCTATGCGGTGGCGTATGGCAGCCATATCAGATGTGTCATAGGTGAAGCCACCATCCGATTTTACGATCGTTAGAGGTACGCCACTCTTGCCCTCGTCTGACCACATAATTTGACGACCCTCATCTTCTTCCAGCATATTTTTCTTTCGCAAAAAATCAACCACAGATAACATATGAGATTGATAAAACGATTCACCGCGTTCCTTAACTGTTATATCTAATCGATCATAGATAGTCTGAAATTCCTTTCGCGAAACATCACAAATAAGCGTCCATGCTTTTCTAGAGTTTGCTTCGCCGTTTTGCAGTGAAACCACTCGATTGTAAGCACGCTTCTTGAACTCTTCATCCGTGTCAAAGCTGTAATAAAGAACAAAAGACCGAAATCAAAACATTAAATAAAACACTTTACACGAACAAAGGGAGGCATAAATTAAGTGCAGTAAAACATTTTGATTGATCAGGATTGGATTGGGTATCCAGCACCGCGGACAATAAAAATTACTGTCAACCTGTGCGAAAGACACATAGTTGCCCCAAATCTTCATGATTTATCTAACATGTTATTGAAGCAAAAAATGTTGTCGGTTGTAAATTCACTTACCGCTTTTTTGATTCCTTATAAAAGGATTGCAAATCTCCAATTGGCGGGCTTACGTTGAGAAAGTCGGGAAAGCGGTCTTCCAAATGAGCAATTAACATACCGAATTGGGTTCCCCAATCACCAATATGATTTATACGAATCACGTCGTGTTGCAAAAATTCTAGCAGGCGGGAAATTGATTCTCCAATAATGGTAGAGCGCAGGTGACCAACATGCATCTGCTTGGCTATGTTAGGGGAAGAAAAATCCACCAATACTCGCTGTTTTGGTACTCTTGGAGGCTTAATACCGCTACGCAATATGTTTTGTAAAGCTTTAGCTGCATAGTCTCTTCGGGAAGACAAACAAAATTAAATCAATTAAATATCACAAGATATATATGGAAATACTAATATCACGTACTTGCTAAGAAACACGTTCACAAAACCAGCACCGCCAACTTCCAGCTTATTTATGATCGGTGATGCGGGACACGCTTTTAGTAATTCGTTGGCAATTTCACGTGGAGTTTTGTTTACACCCATTTCTTTCATTTTCTTTGCTAAGCCCATCGCATTGTTACACTGATAGTCACCATACTTTGCAGATGCACTGTTCACTGGTGCAATTATCACTGGTACGTTTCCATATTCTGGAAACGCTATTGCAAAAGCTTGTGCAAAAACGGTTTCCAAATGCTCCGTGATCGAAAAACTTTCGGTAACCTCCATGACGGATGATTTGAGTTCCTGAGCTATGGACTTTAAAGAAATTTAATTCAATTCATAAGTTCTTCATTAAAAACAGCTCACCTCCCTAATTAAGGATAAACGGTGTTTGAGCTTATTATTTGTAGCTTTAAGTTTGATCAGATCATCGTCAACTTCCACATGGAAGTCGCCGCGTGCTACCGAGTTTATTTGGGAAGAGAGCTCTTCTGTCTTGCGTTCCTTAAAATGCATTTCTTTAGTCCAGTAATATTTACACAAAATTCAATACTTACCAAATCACTCAGGGTTCTTAGTTCCAAAGCTAGTTCTGACATTTTCTTTATTTGAATTAGTAATTTGTATGCCAAAACATCCACGATACACTTTTTAATAACTTAATCGTACACGTATTTATATTTATCGGTATGTATTTGTACTGCATACATATACATCACGTAATGGTTGTATCGATATTTAAATTACTCTTGGGGAATGCTGGGAAATTTTCAAAGATGTGAAACACGGAATCACACTGATCACAAATATCATATTAATAGGGTTTTATAAACAAAAAACTTCCAAGCCTATTGCTTTGACGCTCTTAATTTACCGTCGTCCAAATCAGGAATGATATTCGTATAAAAACAATAAAAAATGCATGCCCGAATTTCGGTCGACCGTTTCGCAGGAAACAAGGAAACAAGCGCAAGTTTCCTTAAAAAATGCCATATTGAAGACATGTTTAATCTAAATAAGGCAGTTGAGTGAATCCGATAAATTGGATATTATAATTTGTTACTTGTAGACCCGGTACTCATATTAAAATGATATACAAAAACTCTCTCAATCGATTCCCCGTCATACTTTGGCATAGTTAAATGCGTTTAAGGCGTATAAGATATTTTCGGTGTCGATGTGAGTCAGGACCGAAAAAAAGGACCGAAAACGGAATGATTTGATTTAAAAAATGTTTGTTGCTTTCATCAGCTGTTCTCTGCAAATATGATGGCCTTTTCTGCTTCATTGCGATATCATTCTGATATCGATAGCAGTGTAAAAATGCTATATATGAGCATCAAATTCTTTGCTTCTGAATTACAAACTATTTTTATTTGTAACAAACTCGTCCCGTAGCCAGAATTCAATAACTATACTCTGTGCATGTTTTGTTATTGTTATTGAGTTGGGTCCAACTATCGAGAGGTAACTCATGTCAGTGTAAATAGGCAATTACACAAATATTGTATGCATGTATCGATAGAGCGGCGAGGGATTTATTGACCAAGCTCTACTTTGGTGCTCTCAATTGTGCAGTTATTGGTATTAGTTAAAAGAAGTGAAGTTCAAAATTATATTGAGGACTTGATCATAAACAACTTATAAAGTTGAACGTGGGGAAATCTTCTTGGAGATACTACACATGTACATTTCTTTTAAACATACATATACATATGTACATAGGTAGGCCTCTGCACCCAGTTAAAAATATGAAAGTGCTTTTTTTACATGAGTAATTGAAGTCCACACAACATTTTGTAGAAACAATTTAAGGAAATGCAACTGAATTTTGCTTACGTGCAAATTTAGGCGATGGCCAAGGATCTTCACACTAACAACTAAGTTTTATCATGTCACTTATGTACACATATGTACATATGAATACATACATGTATGAAACACAAATGTCATAAATGTAAGGAAAGGAGTCATGTTTTCGTTAAACTCGGTACTTTTAAAGTGACGGGGGTGTATTAAATGTGTGCTCGCAAGTGGGTGTATGAAACGCACAGAAGGAATCGTTTCCGACCCCATAAAGTGTACATATATCTACATATGTATGTATATTCTTGATCAGCATGAACAGCCGAGTCTGTATGTATGTTTGTCTGTCCATCTGTCCCTTAGACACCTGTTTCTCAGAGACTATAAGAACTAGTGCAACTCTATTTGGCATCCAGACTGCTCTAATATGCTTAACAATTTCGCCCACAATTTTAAATATCGAGATAAAAGAAAACAGATTTCTGAGTAAGATTCAGATTGGATCAATAGTATAGCCAGAATGAAGAAATTCATTGGCATTAATTTCCCTCATCCACTCCAGGAGCTCGCGCACTCTGGCTCGTGCGGTGTGTGGCTCTGTCGGAGGAGCTAAAAGGGTGTGTTGGTGTGAGAAAGTGTGAGAAGTGTAGAAAAAATTGAAGATTCAACAAAAGCTTAAGGTTTTATAGTATATAAAAGTTGAGACGCACCACAGCGCGATGTGCCGTAGAGATGTTTTTTGGTTCCTTTTTAGTTTGATATTACTATTTTTCTATCAAAAACATTCCGTTCTTCACTGATCTTCTTTATTCCGATTTACACACTTAAGGTGCCTTGCCGCTACGAAGAAAACTGAAGTATCAGGATACAAAATAAATTGAATCGTTTGTTAACATAGTACATTTTAATGAAATGGAAAGCACAAGCGTCACTGGTCGACGACGAAACAATACACGAGTGAATGCAGAGGACAACGCTCTAGATCAAATCACAAAAGAGGTACGTAATCGTCATGCATGCTGGTCGAAACGCCTTACCATGAATCTTAATGCAGTTATAGTTAGTCCAATAAGCGTGGCTATATAACTATTCCTGTCGGTCCGTCCTTATGAACGCCTAGCTCTCAGAGACTATAAGAGCTAGCGCAACCAAATCCATTTTCCCAAAGACTTTTTTGCCATCACACCCGTCGGGTGGCATCCGCTACATCAGAATTTGCTATCATAAAACTCTTAAAATATTCTGTTTGATTTTGTTACAGGCTGAAGCGCGTCTTGCTGCACGTCGTCAGGCACGTGCTGAAGCTCGCGAGATACGTATGAGAGAGCTTGAACGCCAACAAAAGGAACAGGAACAAAATGCTGACCGTGTATTTGATATGCACAACTCGAGTGCCAGTTTTGGTAGTGACTCGATCTCGGCACATCCTGCACGTCTCGCCTTTGGCGGATTATTAAATATTACTCGAAACACGGCATCCCGACGTAGTAGTGAAGATTCTTTGGAGGATGAAGGCAGAAGCTTACGCGACTTCAAGCACGAGCTTAACGTAAGGTAGCCACATTGTTAGTATTCGCCATGAATACTGCTATGCATTTTTTTCTTTTAGGATGTCGAAGAACGTTTCCGGAAAGCAATGATAACCAATGCACAGCTAGACAATGATCGTGCATCACAATCGTACGAAGTCAAATTACTTAAGGACAAATGTGAAACCGTGCAAGAGGCATTCGCACAGCTGCAGCGCGAGTTTAAAGAGAAGTCGCGTGACTGCAACGCAATTAAACGAAACTTAGACCGCATCACCGTTGAGCTTAAGCTAGTTCAAGGTCAGCTTAGCGAGCGAGATTCATTGATTGCAGAGCAGGGCCTTGTGATTGTTGCAATTGAAAATGCCGATGGCACTGATGCCAAGCGAGCTCTAGTCAGTGTTGAAAATGCTAATGTACTGGCTTCCGTTCAGGGTTCTTTAGGTGATTGTCTTTCCGTCATGAAAATTAAATGACCAAAGCACCAACTCATGTATTGTGTTGTATTTCAGATGTAAGAATACAAAAGTTTAGCGATGAAAAGCAGCAATTACTATCCGAAGTGCAGAAGCTGCAAAATAAAATTAAGGAGTATAAAAGCGAAGGAATTGTTGGAACTGGCTCACCGGGTCCCTTTGGTAAAGACAACGATTATGAGGCTCAAAGTATGCACACAATCAATTATTATTCTCTATGTTAAATTCACTGTCTTATCCCGCAGGAGAAGCAAACAAAATCATATCAGACTATAAATATAAGCTACAAAAGGCTGAACAAGAAATGGCTAATCTACAATCGAGCTTAGCCCGTTCAGAGACGCAAGTTATTCGATACAAAAGCACCGCAGAAGCCGCCGAAAAGGCAGAAGCAGAATTGAAAGTGGAACGCCGTAAGCTACAACGTGAGGTAAGCTATTAGCTAAGAAGTTACAAGCAAAGAACAATTTATTTGACTATTGACAAATGTAACTAAGAAAAATAATACCCATATCTTAAAATCTAACAGCACCGTGAAGTTTTGGAAAAACTGGAAGAAACAGAGACAGCTAATAACCATTTATTGAAACGACTTGACAAATTGAAAAATGCGAAAAGTGCCATTCTTAAGGACCTATGACCTAAGATGTTAAATCGCATGGATATCCTCAACCCCAGCCACGACACTCATGCTACTGAGGACATCTAAATAATACTTAATCAATATAACGTAAATATTGCAAGTAAAATTGTTGATAGCGCTGTTTAATTAATCATAATTGTAACATAAAGTATGTGCGAGTATATTTGTATTGATTTGAAAGTCACATTAAAAATTTGTAATTAAATAATTCCTTAAAAAACATAAAAGTAAGCTTATATACTATACCTTAGCAAAAGACCCTTTCTCAGATGACTTCATCGTTTGACTCGAATCTGTTTCCGCAGAGCCATTTAAATCCAGAGAATAGAATAAACACTTTAGGGAACAGTTTGGCATGCAAACCGTACATTGAAAAGATTTGTTTACCTGGCCAAATGTGGTCTTTTCTCCTTCAAATCCTTTTTAAGTCTTTCGAGTACGTTTGCCTAATTGATTGTTTTTCTATTTTGAATGTACTCAATAAACCGCGTGCAATCAAAAACACTGTTGCTAAGACTTTATTGGCTGGCAAACCCACCTTGACCTTTGCTCAAAATTACACAGAAAATCAATGTTGTGACGCCATTATAGCGCGGAGTATTAGTTTGATCTCTGAAATAGAACGGCAAGAATAAAAGGTGAATTGGGGTGGCAAAAGTATGTTTTTATATTTATTGGTCTTCAATTACAGAGTTTGGTGCAGCAAATGGCTCGTCCTTGGGGCGTTTTCCTTCAGGGTCGTCTTCAGGGCCGCACGTGGCTGTTCGTAGCTGTGTCTTCTCGGACCGCTTGACGGCCAGGTGTTGCGGATTTTCACCGGTTTTCACCACTGCGAAGCATGAAGGACTCCCTGATTGACGAGAATGTTGCGGGGAATAAATCACGTTTCGAAAAACGACAATTTGTTGCCGGTAAACTCAAGGTTCCGAAGGTGAAAATTTCCTGTGCTCACGGCTGCTTTTCAACTTCAAACTTAGGTTACCTGACGACGTCCACGCCGAGTTGGTAACATCCACTTACAAAAAAACGGATCGCTGCTTCTCCACAAAGCATCCACCTACACTTATTCGCTTTTTTGCTACAGCCCATTAGCAAGAGTCCGTTGGATCATACTGGCCATTTCTCTTCGATGCTTTGTGCGCTTTGTAGTTATCCTGCCACACTCGCTCAATCTTCTGGACAAGTATTATTCGACATTTTTCACGCAAGGGCCTTGTCCCTGTTGCTTATTGGAAAATCATTGGTCCTACTCTGGATCCTCCTCCAGTGATTATTCATTAAAGATTCATTTTCGCATGAAGAGGAATGCAGTTGTTATTCTGGTTTCACGGCTTTCTCTGAATTTCTTCCTTTTGGAGAAGAACAGAGCCGTAACCCCCGTAATTGCTACATTTCTGGCTACATTTTATAGATAGTTATGATTGAATAAAAGTCATAAATAGATTTCCATTTTTAAACATGGGAGTGTTTCCCATGAGTCACTTGGGCCAACAAAAATCTCATACCTAGTTTTCCCCGAAACGCAATAACTCAACAACTCAGCCCTTGTGTAAATAGGTTATTAAATAAACCATAGAAGTATTATTTAACAACGAAAACAGCGCAAAAAGTGTAGCAAATTTATTAATTATCAAACAATTCTGGAGCACTACTATTAATTTGACCGCAACTGTATGACGTCATGAAGCGACATACCTCCGCGCGGAGATTTGTCGCTAGGGTCTGCGAGGATATATGTCGCCAGGCGATAAACTATCACTATACTATTTTCAAATAACTACTATCCGTGCAGACAAACTGCTTTCTGTTGGCAATATTTTATGGACCAGTCCGTAGGCGAAGCACTGCCTTGAAAATTCAGTATTTTAACAAATTCAAATATAAGATATTGGATGTTGATTTTAATAACTGGCCTACCAAAATATATAACTTATCGTATCGAAAAGTGCTTGGTTGAAGCAGTGCGCCGGTAATGCAGTTTTTGTCAACCAGCTAACCATGATTTTGCGGATCAATTTTAAAAGGCAAGTTTTACGGCTTCTGGATAGCAAAGCAAAGCGTAAGTGGGCCTTAAATAGTGAAGAAAATATAGTTTTGAAAAAAAAAAACAATATCAAAATTTTAAGCCAGGCTCGAACCCACGGACCCCGGGGTCTAAAGGGGGGCCTATCACCCTAAGTCACACTTTAACTTGATTTCGGGAGGCATATTGCAGATTTTTTCAAGTATGAAAATATACGTATATATCATAATTTGACCTAGTTCTGGTATAAGGATCGAGAAACGTTTTGTTAGCCGACATCCTTGGCCCAACAGCAACAATTAAAAAAAAAATCATGTCGTTGCGTTGTAGTGGTATAAGCTGTGGGATGATGTTGATTTAAAAAAGAAGTCTTCCGAAACATGTATTTAGACATACAACTTTGTAGGGTCGGAATTGCAGTCATCGGTGCGTTGCAGACGCTAGGTCAAAATCATAAGTGCGTAAATACATTCATATTATATTTAGGACTTGGGTACATTTGGTTTGGTTACCTTATCTCTACGTATAGCTTAGTTAGTGCATAAAGATATTTTGTTTTATTTTTTTCATTTAATTTTACGGTAAAGATTGCTCAACGTATATTGTATTGTATTGGTAATATATTACATGTTATGCTATTAGAGCTAAAACAGAAAAAGCATTTAGGTTTTGCTTACAAATTCACGCATTTATAGAGTGTATCAATAAAATATATTTTTTGTATATACATTAATATTTTTAACGAAACGGAGTCTGTCGTTTTGATTCCTAAAAACATCTTGAAAGCGCAAAAATTGTAATAGTTGTAGTACTTCATTTATCATTAATTAATTTAAGTAATTTATTTTATTTACAAAATTAGTTACAAAATGCAGCACGTTGTCGAACAGCAACTTCCAGAACCGCCTTTACTCTTTTGTCTTTGATCTATATTAAGAAAGAAAATGTTTAGTTAGTTGAATTCAATTGAATAAAATAAAATACATTTATAAAATAAGATAATGTACGAGAAATAATGGCACAGAAGAGAATCATATGGACCATTTATTCATTCAGTCCCTAAGGAAGTCTTTAGGTCCAACCACTAAAATGGAGCGTGGATGAAGTACAAAAATGTAAATTGGCAAAATATTTTACAATTCTGCAAAAATCGTTAGCTCACATGCTCAATCAGTATCTGAGTTCAGGGTATAAAGTGTAATGTACTAAAATTAAAAACCATCTAAAATAACGTATAATATTAAACTCACCTTGCGAATTGGGTTCAGGCAAATTATCACGAGGCACTAAATGCATAACAGTCGTCTTGCCTAATGGAAGTCCCAGCGCTCCTAACGTTACATTGCAATGAAGAAAACGTCCCTGATAAATCAAACGTAAAATTTCTGCCTTTGAAACGGCTTCGCGCTTCCAATCTAAAAAAAAAGATATTTTAAAACTGTGTAAGCATTTATTTATTTACTCTATTAATTATATGGAAATCAGGTACTCAAATCGAAACTTATCTCTATACTTTTATTTAGTTACCCCCTGTCTAATACCCACTTAAAGGCATATCCTTTTCGCTAACTCCTATCAAAAATTCAACACCATTCCTATAAATACTCACCAGCTGGCCAATTATCGAATACTGTTTGTGCAATATCGCCAGCAGAATCTGATGGGTTAAATATAAATTCTTTGGTTTTGCCACTAACGAGGATTAAACGTAGGTTAATCTGCAAGTAAGGAAGAATATAAGCATTATAAAGTGTTGCGAACAATTTTTATTTATTTCGATAATATTTATATTGATTTATTTCTGATACATTTTTTTTCTATGAAAAGTTCTATGAACGTTGTGAGTCGCTTTCAAAAGCGACTAGCATCCGTCTGCAAGTTGCCTTGGAAGCCTTTAGTGATAACTGATTTGCAGAGACGTTGCAGGTGCGGAGTTAAAATTATCTTTAACATTTTAGGAATAGCGCATAACTCAGATATAGCTTTAGTTTTTAGTAGTTTGCGTCAGACTTGCTGACGTCTCTGATGGAGACGAATTATAAAAGATGCTTTTCAGATAGGCGATTCCAAAGAATTCGTAACATTATTATCTTGAGACAGGGGCAGGTCTAGTAAGCTATCAATAAAGTCATATCGGGACATGGGCACAAGGTCTTTCCTCCACGTCGATACGAACGATCCCACCTGGCCTGACCACTAAGAAGAGTTGTAGGGGGCCTAGCCTTTTTCTTAGCATCGAAAACGTACGGCCCTGGCTACTGGGCTTTCTTCCATATGTCGTCGGGGTAACTGCCAACTGAACATTCTAAAATAACGATCAAGAAAGCAAAAACTAACAAGTTGCAAGGTGGATTTACCGATGACATCCCACTAGAAGTAATTTCCTGTATGGCTACATTTTGTTATTCAATTTTATTAACGTTTTGCTATTGATGAAGACAACATGCCGTAGGGAAGGGGGCCGGGCTCAAAGTAGAAAGCTTAGAGGAAAAGATAATTGAAGTCTCTATGTCGCTTTTTCTAGCATTATTTATAAAATGCTACAATACTTAATGGAAAATTAATACTTAATGCTTACTTTATCAGATGGTATGGTTCGGTGTATCTTCTGCGAAGTTAACGGTGTTACTTTTGTTTTGGCGTTGGTGCACTGACGTGAAGTAGCCTCTGAAGTACCTAGACTAGCCACAGATGATCCAGTTAACGATGGCACCGTTTCTGACGTAGTCATTGTTAGCGATAGCGAAATATTTGCGAGGTGTTGGTTTGGCTTAACTTGATAGCGCAACGATGATTCTTTTTGCACTAAAGAGTAAGATTGGCGCTGATGATGAACTGCTGCAATTGTAGCTGCAACGTTTGTTGAGGTTGAGGATGATGATGATGATGATGGAGACGTCAAAAGTGGTTGCGGTAGAGCAATGGCAACACTTCTCTCACCTACTGATTGAGAAGCTGTAGACCCAGCGGCTTCTAATGAAGCTGACGAAGATACGCTCGAAGATACGGAATAAGAACGCTTTACATTTTGCAATTGCAATTTTTGCTCACTCACTACTATGGCCGTTTTGGACTGGCGATTTTGTGTTTGAGCTGCGGGTGTTTCAACCGATGGAGTTGACGGCATGGCGTTAAGTTAAAATGATTTCATTGAGACAGCGTAACGACGAGACGAACACATACGTAAATTAACTTTTTTGATAGAACAGCACTGTCCGACATGCAAAATGTATTTCTTTTTTAAATATTGACGAATGCATCTACAAAAATATATACACAAGTATGCATGTTCATAAGTACTTGAATACAAATGTGAAAATCTGAGATATACGGCCAATGAATGTCATCAATTGGAATTTTATTTGGAAAAATTTCACAATTCGATACTATTTCGAATTTCCCTATCGCATTCAATTATTTATTTCATTTTGATTTATTTATTAGAGTACAACGATTACAGAACATCTTCTATTGCACAAAAATAAACGGACAGATGAGAGCTAACGACAACAAAATTAATTCATAGTATTTATGTAAGCGACACAAAAATGTACACATATGTGCTCATAAATATACGCATACTCGCATATGTGTGTATTCAATTTGTATTGGTTTTATTTTATATAGAAGCTGTGCGCGTAAATTAGTTCATCCTTAATTGTTTATTTTGTAAATCGTTTTTATTATATGCACATACACAGATTTATTTTTATTATCTGCACACATTCAATACATTTAGTTAGTGATGACTCGTGAATGCACTTTAAATAAACAAAAAGAGGTTGTTAACATTGGTTGTCAATATTTTGATTTGTTATTTGTTACTTGTTTCACTTCCTATCCGCAGGCATATTAAGCTTTTTTACATTATAATTGGCATAACCATATAATTAATTTCTCTACTGTGCAGACAAATTTGTAAATAGATATACACACTAGTGATGCCAGAAAATCGATGGAACTATCGATAGTGCGTCCTTGATGAGCACTGAGTTACATTAACATCTATTTACACTAGAGATGAGCTATTTCGGTCTGGACGAAACCACTAGCCTTAAGCCTAGTACTTAAATGCGCTAAATTTTCTTGCAGCAGAAAGTACCATATATTTCGTTCGATGCCCAATGACCAAAGGTGTATGCTCTATCGGTACACTGTTTTGTGTCTGTTTAAAAAATTAAGTCTGTTAAATATTTAATATTTCTTCGGAAAACAGGTGTATTGAGTCAATTTCATGATTTTTATTGATTTGGTTATTGCCTTATTGCCTTCACAGTCAGTACCTCCCGGGGAACGGTTGGAATTTGTATAGGTGTGAAACATCGATCCACACTGGCACTATACAACAACCATGAAAAAAGAGCGATTTCAGAAATTCCAAGAGCTAAGTTTGGTTGATATTGCAGTCCGAAATCGGATCGTGTTAACTTTTAGTCGCTACAGAATACAGGCTGAGGACAGAATTCAAAATGAAGAACAAAGGAGAATGATGCCTGCATTGATTTAAGATGTTCCACGACATGTTTGTTCTGTGCCACGAAAAGTTATGCCAATGGTTGTCGGCATGATTTTGTGTCCTGATTTGGAAAGCAACTCTTGCTCTCAGACTTTGCTGCAAGCAACATTGAGCTTCTACCAAAAGAATACCGAACAAGTTTAAGTTCCACTTAACATTTATTTTTTATGAAAACAGAATGGTAATACAATTTCTTACTCTCCGACATATATGAATAAAATATTGTATATACAATTATTATTTATAGTAATTGATAATAACATGCAAAAATAATAAAACTCAAAAGTAGGCTTGTACCAAAAAAACCAAAACACAATATAGAAACTTATTATTTAAAAACGAGAGGCGACGTGTGAGACGCTTCTTACTCGTCAGAACTTGTATACCCGGTACTCGGTGTTTTTTCAAATTTTCGATTTTTTCTTCATGTGTCATCTACATCTACAACACTTCTTACACCAACACTGCAGAATCGCCGGCAGAGGCAGCGCCCGCACACAAAAAAAAAACAAAAAGTCGGCAGAGGGACGGCAGAGGCCGAGTGAAGCAGAAGCAGAGTGTGAATGAGAAAATGTGAAAAGAACAAAAAAAGCTGCGGGACAGGGTGGGTTTACCCACTGCAAATTAATTTCTTCATTGTGGCTATAATAATGATCCAATCGGATCCCAATTTGGTGATCTGATAGATATGGTCATTCTTTTATCTTCAAAATTTTAGATTTGGGAGGCGGCGTTTTTGAAATACACTTGTAACAGTGTGAGCATACAGCGTTATTCGCACAAATACAATATACCCTATTTACTCTTTGAGTACCTGGTATAATAATAAAACTCAAAAGTAATTTAGTCATTATTCAGACTAATAACCACAGGATTGTACAAAAAAACCAAAACACAATAATTGTATGTAATGCCTCAATTTATAAAGTTTATACCACTTATTGTGAGTGATTTATCATACAGCAAGAGAATGTTAAGTAGTAAGTACACACTAGTTTTTACATATATGTATATATCTGAGACAACATCTTATGCTAGCGACTTACTTAAAATAGTGAATGAAAATTCATTTTAAATATCCTTTATTAAATAATTTACGACGCAAAATTTGAATTCCACATCCGTAAAAATACATGCGCTGATGATCATCCAGCAACATCCCTTTTATATCAGCTATGCACGTGCATCCAACTCGAATGAACTGACGGGTTCTCAAATTGATCCTATATATCTGTTTATCTACACTGCATGAATAAGCAAATAGTTGCGACGTGCCACTATCATTTTCCTCTTGTAATGATACTGCATTAACCTGAGCATTGTGCAGACCCAAAAACTCCCTGGTCTCCTCTATTGTTAAGTTGTCGAAATTTATAATTGTATACCGTATATCTTCGTCATCTCCGCCAGACAAAAGGTGCAAAAACTGCCCATCAATTTTGATATCTAAGGTATTAATGCCACCGTTGTGTAGTTGGAGTTGAAAACGTTTTATGGAAAGCGTCTGGTCATATGCGTAAATTTCTCCGTTTGTTGTTGTGATGAGCAAAAGCCTTTTGCTATTGATCCACTGCATTTTAAGTGGACATCTTTTTATATCAATAAAATTAACAAAGTGTAGTTCTGAGGGTCTTTCATGTTGCCAACGATAAAGGCGAATTTGACCTTCAGCACTGGCTATATATAACGTAAAAACACCCGAAAGGGTATGTTGTGCGATGTCAATTGCCATCAGTCTTGCTTCAAGAGTGCCGATTTTTGACTCTGACGTATTTTGAACTTTGTGAGTACACAGCTCACTCACGTGGCACTCACTAGCAACTGTGACGTCAATTTGATTAATGCAAAGTTGAGATCGTCCTCCGACTGAGAAAATTAGCCACGTAAGTACATGATTTTTAAATTTATAGAGACAAGCCTCTAACGAACGTACACTTGAAATGTGTGAGTGAATTTCGGCACAATGAATTAAGTTATCGTCGACTAGCTTGGAAATCTTTATGATATTGTCATCCCCTGCTGATAGAATTAAGGGTGTAAGTAGATTGTGGGCCGTAAGAAGTTTTATTGTGTTGCAATTGCGGGTGTGCCAGTTAATCCGCTTTAGATTTATGGGGCTGTCTTCCTTGTAAAGTAAGCTACGGTAAAATAACACTTTTTTTTGTTTTATAAAACATATATTAAGTATACCATTGTTTAGATGGTAGTCCCAGTAGCGATGACCACCCCCACAAGCCTTTTGCATAAGCACATCGTATTGACGCGACCAGGCCACAATATGATTATCATTGAAGCCAAGAAGTACATCTTCACCTTGGGACGCTTCAACCCATCCTAGGGGGACGCTCTCCTTTTTGAAGACTGTTAAACTACAATCAGCTAGTGTCAATCGTAGATATTTCAAATAAGGCTCGTGGCTTCCACTCATCACGTCGACTTGGTGACTATTTAAATTCAATAACTTTAAAAAAGTTGAGCCCATGTTTCCATGCAAACATTTGATAATGTTTTTCAGCTCAAAATTATTCCCAGCACCGCGGTGGTAAACCATACAATGACCCTTACGATTACTTAACAAGAGAAATTTTTCTAATACGAGGATGGCGGCAGTTGTCCAGGATCTATCACAATCATTCAACAAAATATTTGAATCCAAATCTAGCTCACGTCCCTTTAGAAGCTGACAATTTCCTAAGTCATCGGATACAAGGTAATGTTCTTTGGTTAAAAAATGAAATGCGCGAATTGTTCCTTTAAGTCTAACGCCATCAAACAAAATCTCGAATTGTTGTTTTTGCACATTGTAACTGTGCAACGTTATTCTCTGGTAACCACAAGTAGCAATGACTCCATCAAACAATTCGAGCACTGTGCGTTTGTAGCAGGGAAAGTTCGGCACCAGATGCCACTTATTCAAGTGCGGCGATGCATCTGCTAAGTTCATATAAAATAAGCGATTTTTGCTACTTATCCCAACAATAGTCGTGGCATTAACGAATTTTACCTTTCCGATGAACTCGTTTGCCGCACCTAAGTCATTCATCACAGTGATTTGATTTTTCTGCGGGGTAAAAACGTTCTTAATGTTGTAAGCAATTACATTTCCTATGGAACTAGTACTATAGAGTGTAGAGGTAGCTTTATGAAAACCTAATCGCCATATAGGTGCCCCAAATTGTTGTTGACGTTTTAATAACAAATCTCCGGAAGAGTTCCAAATGCACACATAAGAATCCTCTCCACCACTAATAACAAGTGCTTGGCCACCTGCATCATAAATAGTTTGAATTGTATTACCGTCCTTTTATGTTAGAAAATCTTACCATTTTCGACGACGGTAGAACACATAACTCGTGAAGTATGACCAAAGCAGCTAAACATAGGATTTATGTCGACTGTCTTCCATGGCCCGACCTTGTCAATTTTCCAGAACTTCACAGAACGATCATCAGATGTAGTAACTAAAATCTTTGACTCAAGGTTCAGATTAATGGAGAAGATAACCCCATTATGTGCTTGAATACGTAATAGCAATGGATATGTTTTCCTTTTTGAATTAATTGCATCGATATCTATTGCACCATGCGTTTGCCAAATCAACAATTCACCAAACGCATTCCCGCTTATTATTGCCAAAACATTGTAGCTATTACCATACAGATGCGTGTGGTAGAGCATTGAGAAGTCGGTACAACTGGCTAATTCCAAAACAGTGCAGACTAACTTTGATGAGATGCTACACTGAAGGTATAAGAGTGAGCTGTGAGACATGTGCAACACAAATTTCCAGTCATTTGTTTCATCATTGTCAAAAATTGTGGCAGCGTTAATCCAGTCCCTTGTTTCACCTTCGTATATTATTTGAAACGGCTCACTCTTTTCATCAACGTTATAAATTAATAACGAGAATGCATTTTCACCATATAGCAATAACAGGTGTTTTGAGCCATGGCAAGAACTCAATGCAAAGCCATGTACTTTTGCTTGACGAGCGTCTAGTGGTAATTGGAGGGGTGCTGTCGGGGAATGCAAAACTGCCTGATTTCCATGGCCTCCACATAAAAGCATTAAAATAATGTTTACTATACGTAGATCACTATGCGTTGGACATGGAACTTACCGGCCAATATAAATTTGGAAGACACGTGCAAGCCTAATACATCCGATATTAAAGTCATTTGGAATTTGGAGGATTGTGATAAACAATATTAGAAAAATACCAACGAGTATAGTTGATACTATATCGATATATCCATTTGAATGATATTTTTATATTTTATACGATAGTGCCGGTATGAAAAAAAATCATCATTTTTTCGCATGAAGAAAAGAAAATGTGCTACGCCATTAGACTGAAAGGCAATGTAAGATATAATAATAATAGGATGTACCAAAGTGCTAGTGGCCAATTTACATGATTGTGCAACAATTAAAAAATTTCGCGCCATAATTTTGCTGATAAAATACCACCAAAAAATCCCGTGTGGCTGGTAAAAAATCACCTAAATTACGGTACAACACTTTTTTTCGGGCAAAATAACGCTGAAAATCCGGTCAAACAATCTGCTACTGCCTGCGATTCAAAAATATGGAAGAAGGATGCGGAGACCATGGCATGGACCTGTCCAAGGTCTCCGTGGTCCGCTCCGCCAAAGGCGTTGATATGCTCTGTGTGGACGATTACCTATACCATTTCGATTGCATTGGCAAGAACAACACCTACCGGTGGCTCTGCAATAGACGAAAAGATAAAATATCTCCCTGTAAATCCCGCATATGCACCATTCTGCCCAATGGACTGGACAAGACGCGGCATGTTGTCGTGGACGTGCCCGTCAATCACATCCATCCCCGATGCAGCGACCATGAGGTTAGCAAGGTGGCGCATCGCAAGCGGATCGCCATTATGAAGAAGAACGACGCGTACAGTTCCACCCAGCCCAAAAGGGCACGACAGTATGAGCGTGCAACGGGTACACTAAATACTCCACCCGAATTTATATACAATGGAGCCAGCACTGACACCTCCTTACTGGATACCACCTTTCACGTGGACTTTGAGGAAAAGGACCGTGTTTACATGATGAGACGTCGCGATGGCCGTGTTATGGTGTGCATCGATGGACACTTGTACTATTTGGGCGGGAAGTCAAACAAGGGGGAAATTTATAGATGGACATGCGTCCGTCACCGGGACATTGAGTGCACGACTAAGATCTGCACAGAGGCCACTCTGGATGGGGCACATCGTCTGCACATGATCGAGACGGACGCTCACATACATCCGCATTATTCGGCCGACAAGCTGATGCAAATGTTTGCCAAGCATAAAATCCTGTTGGTCGAGAACGACCAAACCAATGAGGTCCTGCAGGAGTGCCCCAATATAGAATACTTTGACCCGGAGCAAACGGTCGACCCATCGCAGTGTGACGATATCGAGTCGCTAATTATAGAGGATTGTGAGGAGAGCTATGATGTGTACATGGACGATGAGCAAAGTGCAGAGATATCTGGCGACCTGGAGGACTACCAGACCGAAGCAGAACAAAGGGCGGAATTGCACAGGATGCCAATACTTTACAACAGGTCCATATGGCCTGTCGCACACGATGTCATAGCAAACTATGTGCAGGAGCCCGGATACGAACCACTGACAGAAACCAATCTGACCAAATTCACGTTTCTGCCGTCGGCCAAGGGGCGCAAGGTTCTTTGCCTGAACCGATATCTGTATCACTTTGACTCGCAGAGTAAGTCGAACGGCCACATGTTCTTCACATGCATCATGCGGCGCCACAAGCATCTGGCCTGTCACGTGCGCGTTACGTTGACACCAATTGGTCCGATGGTGCTGCGCATTAATGGTCAGCATACCCACAATCCAGATCTAAAGGAAATCGAGAGGCGACTCGCCCAGCAAGCCAAGATAGATCTTGAGACTCCGACAGAGCCTCAGCAACATTTGGCCGAATCGGATATAATAGAATACGAAAGCGAGGAAGATGTTGGCCACCAGAGTGCTGATGGCAGCTACGAGCAACTGGAGAAGAACAATCCAGAGGCACAGGGAGAATTTGTAATGAAAAAGGTGATCAGCATCGATGGGGACATCAAAATGGAACCCACCACCAAGTCAATGGTCATGCAATACGTCGAATATGGTGCGGATAATCTAAGCGCCAAGATTGAAATAGTGGATATCATGGATGGCGGAACCTATACACACACGGGAAGCAGGAACAACACTTCCACACCGTTACCCAAAATACCACCACAGCCAGAAATCACGAATATACGTAGACGTCGAGATGTTATGGAGCCTCAGAAAACGCTTCTCCAGCCTGACATGGATTTATCAAAAATCTGCACCTTGCGGTCTGCTAAAGGCAGCGAACTGCTGTGCGTCGATGGTTATATATATCATGCCAAGAATCGTGGCGTTATATCGCGTAATTATTGGGTCTGCATCAAGAGTCGGGATCCTGGTATCAACTGCAAGAGTCGCATATCCACAGCCACCCAAAAGGATGGCTCCATACGTGTCCTTCGAGTCTACAACGTTCACACGCATCCCTTTAGCGAGGATGACATCAAGCGACGTCTGTTCAACGAGATCAACAAGAAGCACAACAAGAAACTCAAGTTTCGGCCACTACACTTTATTGGCAAGTCGCTGGACGAGATACAGCAAGAGTATGGCGATCTAGCCGTCGAGCGTCTGAGTGTGTCCAACATCAGTAACGATATTATGGTTCAAAAGAAGCCAAGGGTGCCAAGTCCCAGCAAGAACGGCAGTAGCAGAGCCTCAGTGACATCCACAACCAAATCCGAGCCGCCAGAGGAAGGTGAGGATGTCAATGTTGTGGACGAAGGTGAGGAGCAGCATGAACAAGTCTCCGAAATAGATGGTCAATACATAGAAATGGAGCATGACAATACAGATGCCATCATTGAAGTTGTGGAAGAAGCGGCCGACGAAATGGAAAACTATGCACCCGTTGAACCCGCTTACCCTATGAAACTGTATGCCGTATCCGATGGACCGCCCTCGCTGGCCGTGCGAATGACTATGAAAGCCTTGGACATAGAATATCAACTAATTAACGTGGACTTTTGTGCACTGGAGCATCGCACCGAGGACTATGCAAAGATGAATCCCCAAAAGGAGATACCCGTACTGGACGACGATGGATTTTATCTATCGGAGAGCATTGCCATTATGCAATATCTGTGCGACAAATATGCGGCATCAAGTTCGACGCTATATCCGCAGGACGTGAACCACAGGGCGTTGGTTAATCAGCGTTTGTGCTTCAACATGGGCTTCTACTATGCCCCCATTTCGGCCCACAGCATGGCACCCATTTTCTTTGACTACGAACGCACGCCCATGTCTCTGAAGAAGGTGAAAAATGCCCTGGAGGTGTTCGAAACATATTTGGAACGATTGGGCTCCAAGTATGCCGCTGGCGACGATGTAACCATAGCAGATTTTTCTTTAATCTCGGCCACCATTTGCCTGGAGGCCATCGATTTTGATTTATCTCCATACCCGTTGGTCAACAAGTGGTACAACAATTTTAAGGAAGAATACCCGCAGCTGTGGGAAATTGCAAACAGTGGAATGCAGGAGATAAATGCCTTTGAGCACAATCCCCCGGATTTGTCTGAAATGGAACATCCATTCCATCCGACGCGCAAGGCCAAGGCTTGAGAATTATTAATTAGGTTTAAACGGATTCTTTGTAAAATAATATATGCTTGTAAATATTTCTTTATATTCAATACACATATTAATAATAATTGTAATAATATTACAAAAAAAAAAAAAAAAACATTGTCTGGCCACAAAATTATTATCAGGGGGGCCATAGGCACTGCCGCAGTCCTCTACATAGATGGCTATTACTCGTATATGGGCCCCGGCCCATAGCAGAAAGCGTCTCAAACACTAGGGCTCGCCCTTTGCTGATGATATATCAAATTCTCCACAATTGGTCAGAGAAATTAACAAAGAAAACAAGAAGACAAATTGGGCACCATAATATCATTAAAATTAGGCACAAAGCGGCGAGATATTTAATTATTAATTCCCAGAGGAATTGCAAATATGCCCAGAAAATAAAGGATGGCCATACCATACCTTATTAAAAATTGTCAATTCCTGCAGAAATGTAGACTGTCCCATGGTAGAATTACTAATAGGTAACGTCGTCAGCTGAGTGGAGGAGCACCAGATTATTCACCACGCTCTCTCAGCTCTCAGAGAGGCAAGCGCTAGAGAGAGATAGCAAACGTTTTACGTTCTGCACTCTTCGCTTTTATTGTTTCTGCTGACAGCAAAGTAAAGATTTGGAGCGGCATAGAAAAAAATATTTTGCAGACATGTTTGTTTCTAAAAAGGATTTAATTGAATAAAGATTCCATTACATTACACATCCAAAATAAAATAGTAGTTGCATACATATTTCATTGTCTTCCGCTTACGTCTTCATTCGTCATTCGTAAACAATGAAGAAAAAGAAGAAGAAAATGAAAAATTCGTGTAATTTCACCATGGACGGTCCGATTTACCATCTTTTTCTATGTTGAAAAAGAAAAGATCGCTGATGATGGAGGAGTGGTATCCTTCGAAAAAGTCACAATTTCAATGAATTAATTTTAAAATTTGCAGATTATAGTCTAAGAAAAAGTATTTGTTAATTATTAAGGCAGCTGATAAAATGGATTTATAATATTAAGTGTAGCAGTTTTTTTTTTTTTTTTTTTGGTTGAACTTTATTGTTTTAACCTTAATATGCAATCAACCCAGGAAAGATAATTCATAAAATCACCCAATCCTGCGGAGAATTGAATGATGCTTCGAGTAAAACTGCATTTTAAATGCTGATAATCCTTACCAGCTAGTAATATCAAATAGAACATAAAATCGAAGAAAATTAAATAAGATTCACGGTATATTTACAGCATATTTAGAAAATGCAAGGGTATATTTTCGAGGGTCTGTCGGTTTATTTTATCGATAATTCCGCGGTCACACTGCACATGACAGTGGAGTGGTCATGCAGTTCTAAAAAATAAATGATTAACTTGACAAAAAGAATAAAAATATGCCATTAATTGGTACCGTTTCTTTACTATTAGAGTTTGTGAGTGTTTTTTGTGTGTGCATTAAACACATATGCTCTCATGCTTAATCCTATACAAAAACATATGTATGTAAATTGTAAGTGTATAATATTCTGTGTACTATAC